TTGATATTTAAGTTTTACTAATTAAAGAAAGATGCATTTAATTAATTAAATTGGGCAAAACCAACAACCCAAAATTCAAATAGAACCCTAGTCCTATCCAATTAATAGTAGCCATTCAAATTTTTAATTTTTTTTTTTAAATTTCAAACATACTTATAAAAAGAGCTTATTTTGCACATCTGCAGGGCCGTTTCGGTTTGGACCAAAAACTTATTACATGAATACATGAAGTAGAGGAACATGGGCATGGGTCAAGTTATACACATATTTAAGGGTCTTTGTGTAAGCTAAATTTGCCAAGTGAAAGATTCTTGGGCGTGTTTTAGGATTCTTGCTCGTAAGGTTGTGTGTAATGAATTATGTTTTTTTTTTTTTTTTTTTTTTAAGTCACACTACATGGGATTAAGGATTTAAATATCAATACAATGCGTCTAATACGGGGCGTATCGACCCATATCGTGTTGTATCAACCGATATGCACCAATACGGAACAATACGAATCGACGTGTTTCTCGCGCACGCATTTATTTGTAAAAAATGCGATTGGAGTGATTCAAAAACAAATCACCCAACGTTAAAGCCTTAACCACACACTTGATCCACTAGGCCACTTTTCATCTTATGAAATTTAATGAAATAAAATAACTTTCTTCTATTATAGTGTCCACATGTAATGCAGAAAAATTACATATGTGTTTAGCAATTCCAACAAAATAAAAAAATAATATTCAAAACTAATATTTTATAAACTAATAGAATAAATAATTTCTTAAATCCACATTTATATCAAACATTTGTTTAATCTCAAGAAATTTATACGAATAAAGATATTAATAATAGAATAATTATTTTAGTACTTAATATTTATAAATTTGAACATGATATGTATCTTAAAATTTTATAAAATATTATTTAATATTTTAACTTGAACTAAATATAATTATATATATTATTTATAAAAATAATATTATTTACAAAAACCTCAAGAATATAATTTATGGAAATCAAAATATTAATAATGGAATAATTATTTTAGTAGTTAAGAATTATGAATTTTCATATGATGTGTTCCTTAGAAAATTTAATATATTTGATATATTTTAAGTTAATATTATATATTTTTACAAAATTTTAATTTATATTTTAATTACATTTTATAGTAACGTGTTTATTGTTTACAAAAATAAAAATATTGTTAACTAAACATTTGAGAATTAATCTTAGTTGAATTTTGGTTAATATTAAAAATTAAAAATACTAAATTAGAAAATAACCGTACAATAATTCACATATAATAGTTGCATATGTTTTGTGCCTTGAAATTCAGTAGAAAATAACATAATAATAGATTTATGCATGTATTAATTTGTAAAAAAAATATATAATATGTTATAGGATTCTTGATTGATACACTATCAATAAAATTTTATGATTCTTATGCATCCCACTATAAMATAATCGATATAGTAATTCACATATAATAGTTGCATATGTTTTGTGCCTTGAAATTCAATAGAAAATAACATAATAATAGCTTTGTGCATGTATTAATTTGTAAAAAATATATATAATATGTTCTAGGATTCTTGATTGATACAATATCAATAAAATTTTATGATTTCTATGCATCCCACTATATTAATTGTAGTATATTTTTCATATATACCTTTAGAATATACATTTTTTATGTATTTATACATTAATTATGACTATTTTAATCTTAAAAATAATGTTATTAATATATTTGTGGAATTTATATGCATTTTTCGGCGTATCCATATTTTTTCGTCCGTATCCATACGTTTCCAAAGCATATTCATATCCATATCCGAGTGGCCCGATACGATACCCGATATCGATACTTCAATTCTTGCATGGGATAACTTTGAATGTTAGGGGCCAACAACATAGGTTGTTGAGAGCATTTTTAGGATGGGTGTGTTCACCTATTCATTCTCATGTCTTTCTTTCTTATTAAAATAAAATAAGCGACAATTACTAATTTACCCACTCTCATGGTAACGTGACTTTCCCAAAATCACTCTCAACAGCTAAAGTTTTTCATAGGAATATAGATATATTCTCTCATCATTGGTTGCATAGCAATTATGCACAGCTTGCAAGCAACAGATCGAAGCACACCAAGCTGCCAAAAGATGTATTGGTTGTTTCATTACTTAATAACATAAATCTTTTTCAAAATAGGTCAAGGGATTAGTTTTAAGCGAATTCGCATCTCCGCCCCACGACACATCCCCGCCGTGTATTGGGAACATCTCCCGATGATAGTACCAGAACTGATGATGTCATCATAGGGAGATGTTCCTAATACACAACAGGGATGTGTTGTGGGGCGGAGATGTGAACTCATTTTAAGCATGCCCACCCCTTGAAAATGATCAAGTCTGAAACACCCTTTATTTGGGCTTTTGAGCAATTCCCAATACGATACACCTGATATGGAATGTATCATATGGAAACTTTGAATCTTAATCCTCACAAAATTGTGTTAAGACCGTCCTCACATACTTTTGATGCCTTGCATCGGGAATATCTCTGTACTTGAATTTTTGGGAAAGTTCCATATTAGTACTTTGTAATTTGGGCTTAGTGCCACTTTCCTGAACTTTAAAATGCGATAATTCAATACCCAAACTTTCAAAACGTACCAATCCAATACCATCTGTTAACCAATCCGTTAACCAACCTTTAAGTTGCACTTGAAAAGACAAATTCCCTTACAGTGTCATCTAATTTTCTTTATCAACCATCCAAGTGTTGATAAAAAATGAACAGTCCCAAATCCTTACTAGTTCTATTCAAGAAAGTTGGGGTAAAGAGGCAAGGATTTGTGACTGTTCAATTTTTATCAACATTTTGATTGTTGATAAAGAGAATTAGATGACACTTGAAAGGTATTTGTCTTTTCAAATGCCACTTAACGGCTGGTTAACGGACTAGTTAATAGTAGGTAATGATTTGCATGTTTTGAAAGCCCAGGTATTGAATTATCACATTTTAAAGTTCAGGGACCAAAATGGCACTAGGCCCAAATCATAGGGTATTAATCGGGAATTTTTCCTAAATTTTATTAGTAGGGAGATATCTAGGGCTGCAAGTCGAGCCGGGTTAGGTCAGGTTGAGGCCAACCCTAACCCTAACTGAATTCCTTCAACCATAACCCAACCCAAAGTCAACTTCTGGTTGGGCCCAACCCAACCTTCTTCCCATCCCTTAAAATCTCGTAGAACTTCTTAATCTTAGATCTTAACTCAACTTTCATTACATATATTAATCTTATGTTTTATTAGTATTTGTTTGTTGATGTTTTTATTGGTTCTTTAAGTATAAAGTTCAGGAAAAAAAGTATTTGAAATGACTATAGCTTATTATGGTGATTTATAATAGATTTTTTACGGGCAGCAAGCTATGGGTGGCAAACAACAAAGAGGAGACAAAGAATAAAATATTCAAAAAACATAAAATATGTTATCAAGGTTTTAGTATTTTCAATTAGGATTAAGTGAAGTGCTTATCTTAATTGAAATAAATTATAGTATATGATGGTGTATATGTACTAGAGTCAGATTTGGGTTGGGTTGGATTGCCCAAGGGGTCAACCCTAACCCAATCCAAAATAAAGTCAGATTCATTAAATTTCAACCCTAACCCTAATCTAAGCATCAACTCGATCCAACCCAACCCAACTTTTCGAGTTGGGTTAGGACTAACCCGTCCCAAGTTGCAGCCTTAGAGATATCCCCAAATTGCACAGATGAAAGGGACTGTAAGGAGGGTGTGAGGACGATCTTGTGAGGATTAAATCCGAATTTCATACAAATCCCCAACTGTATTATTAGCAGTTAAAAAGGCTTGCTCATGAGCCCTGCCGTGCCCAATATGATTACACCATTTCGTCAAATAGAGACAAAAGCATTAGTTCTAAACGTGTATGGTGACTGTTGAGGGATGGCCCCCCTGTCTGACCCAATCCAACCAAGTCTCTCAGTGGACTCCGCCAAGGAGATCTTAAATATCATTTCAATTGGATTGGATGATTAATCATCCCATCCATAAGCTATTCCACACAGGTGAAAACTGAAAGGGAGCAACAGAAGAAAATTAATTAGCTATTCCCAGCTCATGATCAAGTTCCAGGTTTGCAGTACTGTCTTCTCTGTTTTCTGGGTTGTAAGGACTAAGGAGTCATACCAATCTTCATAGTGTGTCATGGTATCATACAAAAGAAGATAGAATCAGCCAACTATGTCGATGTCACCTGAAAATTGAATGGCATTTGATCCCACACCACCATCAAGGCATCACTTAGATAGATTTGTCAGTTTTCTTTTCAAGAAAAACTGAAATGACCTCATCCCAATATTTTATTGACAACCCAAAAAGGATCCAAGGGAAGACAGAGTGGGAGTGGGGAGACAGATTCTCATCTAAAATAAGCTTTATCCAAATTATCAGGGTTTAGCTCCAAAGCTCAAAATGAGGGTGGTTGGTAGCAGTTTTTTGGATGTATCCTGGGGAATGATTCGGTTGCTTACCAGAGGGAGGGAGAGAGAGAGAGAGAGGAGCCTAATTTAATGATACTAACCATATCTGGAATACCCCTTTCAGCCCATTAG